TCTAAACTTCAGTTGTTGAATACCCAGAAGAGATCAGTGACATTACTATTGAATTAGGAGCTCTGAATTTAACTATAATACTTTTACTTAAATATCATGTACTTTAAAATGTAAAATATAATCAAAGGAAAGTTATTTCTTATCAGCAATGGTTGTTCTAATAGTTGAATCCTTGTAGAATGTTAACAGACAAGAGTTACATAGTTTTACAAAGAAAACGAGATCAAAAGTCACACATAATATTTCAGCATGACAATCAGGGTATTATTTTTCTAACACAGTCAATAAAAGTGTGCATTTTAACATAGAACAGCTTTTTTAGTCAAACATCTCTTTCTGATCACTAGACATTAAATGACACAAAGATGCTCTCATTTACTGTGTTATGCTTTAACAGAATGTCATTGAAGTTTGTGACATTGCCTGGACTGTGCACTGTCCAAGCATCTGTAAGTGTGGTAACATTTGTATAGCCAAAACATCAGAGAATCCTTCAAAAATTATTTTTCACAGGTCATCTTATGTTGGTTTGACACACATTTCTTATAAATAGCTGAAGCACAAAAGAAAGCGAAATATCTGAGTCTAAAAGAAAATGGTTATCACCATCAACAATCCTTTTTATATCTTAGACCTATACATTTGAAAGGCATGAATATATTTAATAAACCATGAGATTGGCAATAATGATTGCCATAGCTATATGAAGATTCTTGTTTCTTAATTTAGTTTTGTACCAAGAGCATCTTTAAATCAGAAAATGTATTGTCTTATTCTTAGAAAACAACTTGACAATAACCAATGTAAACAAATTACAATATATTTACCAATGTTTCTTGAGGTGTCTCTTACAAGATTATGGAGATTATTGGGGTATTCGTAGTGGAAAAGGATTGGAGAAATATTTCCAGATGGCTCCTTCTTTATTCACCAAGGAGAGTCCTAACAGTTTTCTCAAGTGTAGAATTCCTATTTATCTTAACAAAGTGTTAATGATCTATGAGTACCAGATCTTAACACTTAATAAAAATGAAAGACTAGAGTTATTGTACACAGACAAGATATATCATACTTATAAAAGTAATTTTAACATCGTTTTGACTGGCCAATAACTGGCCAATTAAACATCTTTAATTTTGAGGACATCTGTAAACCAGTTTCATTTACAGATAAATGTTTTAAAAATCTAAAAAGACAAAAACAAAAAAAATTTTTTTGAGCTCAAATAATATCTTTTTTAAGGAATCTTGGTAAAACTTGATGTCCTCCTTGTTTCGGAGTGAAATTGAGGGTGAAAAGGGGGCTGTAACAGATAAAAGACCTGAAATGGGATACAGAAGAATTTAAGAGATTGTATGAGGTATGCAAAGTAGGAATATTAGAGAAGGTAAATAACTCTTGAAGGTAGGGATTTTTTGTTTAGCTTTTGGCAGTAGTTGTCTAACTATGCAAATAGAGGGATCAAAAGTCCCATTCTTTGGTCACCTAGTGTCACTGAGATATTAGATGCTCAGGTTTCAATTCATTTTGGAGGCGGGATGAGGGAGAAAAAATGGAAGAATTTCCCATCTAGAGCAGAGAAAGGTAATTACCACACCTGGTGCAGCAAAACAATAGTGGCAAGAGGGCCTATACTGAACATGTTCAGTTAAAGTCAAGGCTGTTAGGAACATGGGTGAAGGGGCAAGTGGGTAATCACTTCAACTGACTAATCACCAAGGGTGCCGGTTTCCTTGGGAAGCATCCACCCATAATTAATGCTAGGTTCACAGGCAGAGAGGAGTGAGTCTATATTCCAAGTGGTGAGAAAAGGAGAGCAAAACTAGAGAATAGCTGACAGGTGTGGTTAAACGCCGTGGTTGTGGCTGCAGCAGTGAACAAAAGTGTATGGGAGAGTCATAAGGTACAAAGTATTAGAAGCTAGGAAAATGGAGTGAGTTTAAACAATCTGAAGCAATCAGCACGGCAGGACTGGGGGGATACCTGGAACACTGGGAAAGGTCTAAAATCACTGTTACTGAGTAGCCTCAGTGGAAAAGGCTCACAATAAGAAATTCCTTCTCAAAAAGAGCTTCCTATTACCATCCAAGTCACAGCACCATATGTTAGGTTAATGGCAGAGGCAGCACCTAGAGACAGAGGCAGTACGAAAGATGAAATTTTGTTCAGCCTACCTACAAGCACACTAACATCAAAGTGACAGCAGCAATTATCTGGAGGCAATCAGCCCAGGTGTATGTAGATAGAACAAATGCCAGGAAGATGTCAAGTCTGGTCCTAAAATATCTTTACTCTTCTTACTCCTTGTTTGCCAAGCCATTGTTAATACTGGGGAGTTTACTATATATAGTGGGCAGCCCAAGCATCTCAGGCCAGTCCTGACAGAAATGACTGACAGAAAAATTACTGTAAAACCCTTCTTACCAAATTTAAAGATTATCAGACATTTAAACAAAAGGGCTCCAAATCTGAGTTATATAAAGCCTATTGTCAAGTATAATCCTGTCTTTCTGGAATTTGGAGCCTGGATTGTCTCCTGATTAGGTAAAGCAAATATATTACCAGTCACTTAGTTTAAAATGTTCCAGTTTGTGTGTTCACTGTCAAATCAAAGGAGGTCATATTGGAGGAGGGAGGGATTCATCTAAAGCTAGCTGTAAAGAGATAGAGCCCAGAGTCAATTTGCCCAAACCACAATCTCATTATATGGCAGTGTGTCTATGTTATAGTAAGAAACACAAAGTGATAATGTGGAGATATGAAATTATTCATCAATATATATCCTAACACTTGCTTTATTTTTATCCATCTGTACATTACTCAGATCATTCACATTTTCTAGTGGGAAGAAAACTTATCTCTGGAACTCTGAAACCAGCATTTACACACTTTGTCACTTGCTTGGGGCTGAGAAGAGGTAAATGATTATGTGTTCAGAAGGAAGAAGTTAGCAGCCCTCATCACTAAAGGAAAAGAAAAAGCTGTCTTTTAAACCTGTCATTTTACTGTCAATTGTATATGCAAGGAGTTTTGAGATATTCTCTCAGATATGCCATGAATAACAACAGTACACTTCTATTCCAGGTGAAAACAGAATGACTCAATAAGGGTACAAAGACCTGAGGAATACAAAATAAGTATAGGAGTGAGCTAAACTGCACAAAAATAGACTAACAAACAGGTGCATTGAATTGACTCCACCAGTTTCCTCTCCAAGTTACTACTCCTTCTCTATTTTCAATACATTACTTATATCTTTTGATGACTTTATAAAGATACCTTAATAATCAAAGCATATATTGCATTGTATTCACTTTCTGCTAAGATACACAACAATTAAAGTCTCTGCAGAGTCACTCATGAAAAAAACCCTTTTTATTATTTCCAGGTTGCATTAGTTCTTTTTACTCAACCATGTTATTATTTTGAATACTGGATACATTTATGAGATATGAGAGTTTAAGTAAATGAAATTCACACCAAAAGATTGGATCCTTTTGTCAAGTAACCTGCTGCCAACAGTCCACTAAATGGGCATTGACACCACGGAGATTTTAATCTCTAGAACTGTGGAAAGTTTGCAGACATCCTTGTTATGTGGATTTCCAACTGGCTGAAGTCAGAGCTTTCAAATTAGTAACACTCTGTTAGATTTAGTACCATATTATAATATATGCATACATTTTAGCTTCCCTCCAATAAATCCTGTTATGAAAATTTGAGACACTTAAAAACTTCTCTAGATCAATGTGCTCCATCATTAAAACCAGTCACTCAAACCTGCACCCCAAAAGTTCCTTAGAACAATTAAAATGTGCAAATGTTTATACTGAAATCATTCACCCTAAAAACTTTAGCAAATTGTAATTCTATGTGACACTGCATTACCTACTGTAGTCATGGAGATGTATGCCACCATTTTTTTGTTTTCTATGAGAGAAGCATTGTACTTTCTCATTAACATCTCTCAGTTTCTCCAACTCCACTATTTGCAACCATCATTATCTTCTATGCTTCTCTATAGTTATCAATTTTAAATGCTAAAAACTAGCATAATCAAGCTTTGTTTATGCATTGCATATTTCATACAATGATCTCTTGGCTAATGTACATTGTCACAAATGTGGAATTTCTTTTAAGCCTCAATAAAATTTCAGTGTATGAATAAATTTGGTATTATCATTCTAAGGCCATGGTTTGCTTGTAAAATGTTTAAGGCAGGGTAGTGATGATTTGGGTACAGGGTGTTTTGCTGTTCTAAATTTAACATAATAATGCACTTTCTGACCTCACTTGTCTATTAATACAGAAATAAGGGAGTAAGAATGTCCCTGAGTTTGTTACTTAAAACAGTGTAGCTCATTACTAACAGTCCTGTCTGATTCTTGGTTTTCTCATTTTCTATATTTGTACTATCTTTCATTTTGTTTGTGCATGCTTTCTGACAAGACTCATAAAATGTTTTCCACACTAATTAGAAAGACTTTCACTTCATGGGGGAGTTCTATAGTTTTCTAGCTAAGTGGAAAAATTAAAGAGTTTCCCACATTCATTTTCTATTTATCCATCTATTTATCATCTATCTATATAAAATTTTTCTCTCATTTGAAGACTGTGTTGTAGAGCTAAAATGAAACAAGAAAAATAAATCATATCCCAAATTGTTTATGTTCAGATTTTATCTTCTAAGAATTTCTTAAGGTGTGTGATGGTACATGTGTACTTTTTAAGATTTTTTATATTGCATACAAAGAAATAGCTTCTCTTCACTGTCCTTTCATGTCAGTGCAGATCACTTTATATATTCAAAATTAGTTTCTTGAATTTTAGTATCTATATTGATTGCTTAAGTGAAGGCTTTTCCATATTGCTTATTCACATAAGAGTTTCTAACCTATGTGATTCTTTTCATGTACTTGACAACCACTATGTGTGCTGAAAGCTTTACCACAAAGTTTACATATATGGGGTTTCTCACCAGTGTGAACTCTTTCCTGAGTTCAACAGTGACTGTTTGTGCTGAAAGCCTTCCCACATTGCTCACATACATATGGTTTCTCCCCAGTGTGAGTCCGTTTATGTCTTTCACAAGAACAGTGAGAAGTGAAAGCCTTCCCACATTGCTTGCACACATAAGGTTTCTCCCCAGTGTGTGTTCTTTCATGTTTTTGACAGTCACCACGTGTGCTGAAAGCTTTCCCACATTGCTTACATACATAGGGTTTCTCCCCAGTGTGAGTTCGTTCATGAATTTGACAATGAGTGTGTTGACTGAAAGCGTTCCCACACTGCATACATACATAGGGTTTCTCACCAGTGTGAATTCTTTCATGTGTTCGACAATGACTATTCGTGCTGAAAGCTTTCCCACACTGCTTGCATACATAGGGTTTTTCCCCAGTGTGGGTTCGTTTATGTCTTTCACAAGAACAGCGAGAAGTAAAAGCCTTCCCACATTGCTTGCATACATAGGGTTTTTCCCCAGTGTGAGTCCTTTCATGCTTTTGACAATCACTACGTGTGCTGAAAGCTTTCCCACATTGCTTACATACATAGGGCTTCTCACCACTTTGAGTTCGTTCACGAATCTGACAATGACTGTGTTGGCTGAAAGCTTTTCCACATTGCTTACATACATGGGGTTTTCTGCCAATGTCGGTACTTTCATGACTATCAAATGATTTGAAGGATTTTCCACAGTCTGTATATAAACTGGATTTTTCTCCACTGTGTGTTCTTTCATGTTTTTGAATATCATTGAGAGAAGTAAAATCTTTTCCACATTGTATAGATACATAGGTATTCACCATGCTGTGATTTCCTTCATGGATTTGAACATGGTTGAGTGTATGGAAAGCTTTCATATCCGTCTTATAGAAAAAGGGTTCTTCTTCAAGGTTTCTTTCTTCAGTCTGATCAGAGTAAGATTTTTCATGTTCTCTATATTCACATAAATTCTTTCCAAGGTTTGACTTTGCATCATCCTGAAAGGACTGGAAGTCAGTGTAGGTTTTCCCATTTCTGTGGCAGTTCAGTTCAAATCCATGGTACTTACATGATTTAAGTCCTGTGTTAACAATGATGGACGTAAGTGGTGATGAATGACCAATCCAAAGCTTTCCATGAGCAACACTTTCATCTGGTTTTGTACAAAGAAGTTTCATGTGCACATTATGATTGGAAGTCATAAAAACCATTTCCCTATATTGATCAAATAATTTATGTTGATGGCATTTCTTTAAGTCTTCATTTCTGTCAAAGAAACAAATAACAAATCACAACCAATCACAATGAAAGTATCTTTATATTAAGGGTTTACCAGGAAGAGGTCTATTTTGATTCTCCTAAGAAAATAATATCATGAATTTACTGTATACTCTAAATGACTGCTTGTAAATAGCTTTTGACAAAACAGCATTAATTTGGTATTTATAATTGAAATATTGTAAGGTTTGCAATATATAATACTATTTTTGGGTGACTGGTATATACTTATATGACAGACTACATTTGATACACTTTTCCTCTGTGATTCTACTTCGGCCCCTTCCACTGAGTCTCTTTATCCTCTTCAAAATATTTGCCTCACTTTTTTACCTTTTCTCTTTTATTTTACTTATTAACATTTTGCATTTCTCATACAAAATGTAACATGTAATATTAAATGTTCTGTGTCCTTGTCATTTAATGCAATATGGGTTCCATATCCATCCTTTTTTTTTTTTTTTTGGCAAGTGACAAAGTTTCACGTAACCTTATAGTCCATCATACATACACACCACATTATTTTCAGTGTTACAGAATTAACCAAGAGGTTTTGTGTTGAGCTACATTCTCAGAGTTATGTATTTTTTACCATGATATAGAATTTCATTAATATTAAGTTGCTGAGTTGGAGTATGAAGTTTTAATGAAACATAAAAAAGAAACAATTTCAAAACAAAATAATTGGAGATTAACAATGGTTCATATATTGTGTATCGGTATCTTCAAAATAGTTGCTCCGATTGTAAGATATACACATGAAAAAATGATCAAACAATGAAGGTACAAACCACTCTTTTTGATGAACTAATATAGATTAGTAGTATAATTAATTATCTTGGAGATAACTTTCTTTTGTCCTTCCTACTTTCCCTCATCTCAGTTGTTCTTACCTCTTGAGCAGTTTCTTCCATTTTCACAATATCTATTTTACATTTTGGATTCAATTTACTCTTTTTTCTATACTAGGGAGAATATACAATGTTTACATATGTAAGTCTCATTTATTTCACTTATGAGTATGACCTCAAGTTGCATCAATTTACCTTTTAAATCTTGGGTTTATCCTTATTTATAGGTGAATAATATTCCATTGTATAAAAATATTACTTTGCTTCCATTCAGTGGTTGATGGGCATTTGGGTTGTTTCTAAGATGTAGCTATTATAAATTATGCTGCTATAAAGATAGGTGCATATACATCACCCTGGTATGATGTTTTCAAGTCTTTTGAGAAAATACCCAGAAGTGGAATAACTGGGAATAAATGGGACCTTTAAGCCGAGATATTTTAGGAATCTGCACCTTGATTTCCACAGTGGTTTTTCCAGTCTATACTCCCACCAACAGTGAAGAACAATTTATTTGTCCACCAAACAGCCCCACTGGTATTTGTTATTGGTTGATTTCTTGATGATACCTACTTTCTGGTATGAGAAGAAATCTCAGTGTTGTTTTAATTTGCATTTCTTGAATGACAAATGATGTGGAACATATTTTTAATATATTTATTTTCTATTTGTACATATTCATCTTAGATGTCCCTTTTGGATTGGGTTTTTGAATGTGGGAGGGCCTGAATTTTTCAATTATTTGTACATTCTAGATAGAAGTTCTTTGTCTGAGGAACAGCTAATTTTTTTTACTATGCTGAGGGTTATTTTTTTCCTCTGTTGAACATCACTTGATGAGATCTCGCTGTTCTTTGAAACACTTTCCATGCAGTTTGTGCTCTGTTTATGAATTCTCTGCCTACTCCTATGTCTTCAAGTCTTCTATCTACCTTATCTTCCAGTTGATTTCTATTTTAAAATTTAGATCTTTAATCCATTTTGAATTTATTTTAGTGCATTGTGAAAGACAATTTTTCCAGCACCACTTATTAAAGAGGCTATTTATTTTTCTGTGAACATGTTTGGTGCTTTTGTCAAAGAAAAGTAGCCAACTTTAACTTTAGTTGTGTCTGCATCTTCTAATCTGTTCCACTGATCTTCAGATCTGTTTTTCTGCCACTACCATGCTGACTTTATCACAGTACCTTTGTAGTATAATTTCAAATCAGAGATTATGCTGCCTCTTACTTTGCCTTTGGTGCCAAGGACTGCCATTGGTATTCTAGGTCTCTATTTTCAAATGAATTTTAGGAATGTTTTCTGTAGATCTGTGAGATATGCTAATGGTATTTTGATTCAGGTTCCATTAAAACTATGTATCAGTTTTTAGAGTATGGCCATTTTCTCAATGTTGGTTCTTCCTACCTAAGAGCAAGGGATATCTCCACTTTCTGAAATCCTCTTCAATATCCATATCATAGTACTATAATTTTTAATATATATATATCTTTTACATCCTTTGTTAGATTCATCCCCAAATATATAAGTTTTGGGATGCTAGCTTGAAAGTGATGATTTCCATAATTTCTTCAGTGAATCTTGTTTGTGTAAAGGAATACCTCCCTCCAGGAATGAGTTAGGGAGAACTGCTTCTTTTTCAAGTTTATTAAAGAGTTTGAGGAGTATTGGTGTTAAATCTTCTATAGATATCTTACAAAACACAGCTATGAATCCCTGAGGACATGGGTTTCTCTTTGTTGGTAAATTTGTGTTTTGGTTATTTTGTCTCATTGCTGAGACAAAATACCCAATGTCCAACATTAAAGAAGAATAGGTTTATTTAGCTCAGTTTGTGGAAGTTTAAGTCTTTACTTGGCTGTCTCCAAAGTAGAGTAGCACATATCACAGAGCAACAACAGCTCATGGTGTCAGAAAACAGCACAAAGATCACCAACACAACAAAAGAAGCATGGAGATAAGACTGTCTCTTATATTGTATGTAGGCTACCCACTCTAGGGTGAATGTAGCAGTCACACCCATAATCCCATCAGTGGACCCTGAATCAATCATATATTCAAGAAGCCTGCAACCATGATTATGTGATGCTTTGAGGGCACATCCAGACACAAAGCATAACAGTTTTTAAATAAATTCCCAATTTCACTAACTGATACTGGGTTATTTGATATTTTTATAACCTCTTGATTCAGCTTTGGTAGTTCATACATTTATAGGAATCTGTCCATTTCTGCTGTGTTTTCAAGCCTGTTCAAGTAAGGATGTTCAAGGAAGGCACTGATAATCTTCTGAATTTCCACAGGCTCTGTAGTGATTTTACCCATTTCAGTTCTCATTGTATGAACTTGAGCTTTTTCTTTCCTTTTGTTCATAAGGTTGTATAGGGGTTTATTATTGTTTCAAAGAACCAGCTCAATTCATTAAAAGTTTGTATTGTTTTCTTAGTCTCAATTGCATTAATTTCTGTTGTGATTATTATAATTTCCTCCCCTCTATGAGCTTTTTTTTTCTTTCTTTCTCTCTCTCTCTCTCTCTCTCTCTCTCTCTCTCTCTCTCTCTCTCTCTCTTTTAGCTTGAGGTACAGTATTAGGTTATTTGTGCTCATTTTGCTTTCTTGATGTGAAAGTTCACTGGTATAGATTTACCCCTTAGGACTTCTTTCATTGTGTTCCATGGGCTCTGGTATGTTGTATTTGTATTTTTGTTTGATATTGTTTAATTTCTTCCTTAATTTCATCTGTGACCCACTGGTTGTTCAGGAGGATGTTATTTATTTTCCATGTGCTTATAGGTTTTGCAGTTTCTTTTGCCTTTATTTTCCAATTTCTTTGTACTTTGTTATGGTCAGATAAAATATGTGGGATACTTTCAATTCCTTTCCATTTCCTAAAGCATGTTCTGTGGGCTAGTATGCTAAAAATTAAAATAATTGATTAAAAGATAATTAACAAAAATAGTTACTTAAAAAGATAGTTATTAGTAATATTGTCATTCTGTACTGAGCTCATTACCCTAGTAACCAAGCATCAACCACATATTTATAAATTAACTAACCACGTCGTTCTGCTATTCTGTAATGCGTCACCCCCCCCACCTTAGTGATCTGTGTGCTATGTCAACTTTTGTTCCCCTTGTAAGAGACAAATGATGCTGTGTCAACCATTGTTCCCTTCATGAGAGACAAATGTTCCTGGAATTGGCAGACCAAGTGCTATGAATTGGCTAACCACCCACTGTGAAATGCCTCTTACATCAAGCAAAAGGGAACAAAGGCCCACCTTATTTCTGTTTCTCATCACTATGTACTTAATGATCAATGAGCTAATCATAAATGAACTATAAAAATCAGTCAAAACTCTAACTCAGTTGCACAGCTTTGCAAATTCCATCTGCACTGCGTCGCTGGGCCAGCTAAAATAAAAGCGCTTCTTTTAAAAAAGACATCTTGCCCCATTTATCATCTTGGGGTCTTGCCCCGTTTTTCATCATGGGGCCCTGTTTTTTGAGTAGAGTACAACCGTATATGGTCTATTTTACAGGATGTTCCATGGATTGCTGAGAACAATGTGTACTCTGATGCTGTTGAATGGAACATTCTATAAATGTTTTCTAGGGGCTGGGGATTTAGCTCCACGGCATAAGCGCCTGCCTTGTAAGCAGACAGTCGTGAGTTCGATCCCTGGTACTGATAAAAAGGAAAAAGACAAAAAAATGTTTTCTAAGTCTATTTGTTCAAGTTTGATTCAGTTCTGTTCTTTCCTGACTTTTCTGAATATCTCTATTATCTCTGTATGACAATGACATCTTCAAGTCCCTTGTTACCACTGTTATTGCTTATTTGATTTTTCATTTTTGTTAATATTGTCACATATAGTTGGATGCTTCCATATGTGGTGTATATACATTATGATTATTATCTCTTTCTCTTGAATTTTCCCCTAACAAGTATGTAGTGATCTTTCTTTCTTTGGATTATTTCTGGCTTGAAGTTCACCTTGTCTGCATATAGAATAGCTACTGATGCTTTTTTCAGGGTTTCTGTGGCAAGGAGTATAGTTTTTCATCTTGTGACTTTCAGTCTGTTTATTTTTTAGTTAAATAGTTTTCTTGCATACAGCATATTGTT